TCCTACCTATTGTTCAGAGACATTGGCATTATAATACTTCCCTATTAATAAAATACTTCTCTATTAGTAAAAACCCGAAATTGTTTTACTCCAAAATCCAAAACCCTCCACAGACCCTTATAAGCCTCCAACTTAACTATTTTCTTATTTACCAACAAATTCCAAATTCTAGAAATAAAAACAACGAAACCTAGAAATTTTTCCAACAATATTGTCATGTCTTCCAATTACTACCTTAAGATTAGCAAAGAAAGAGATAATCGTCAAGAAGAATTTTGTTCTTGCATTCCATATGATCTTTTTAACATAGAATTAGAGTTTCATTATGTTTCACCTCTTGGTTTTGAAACAACCTTAAAAATATTTTATCAATCGGTCATATATCCTCATCACAAGATTTTATTTGAAAAGTATGTTCCAAACGCCGTACTTTCCATGTTTGATAACATGGATGCGTCTTCAGAATTCCTTCAGTCTGTCATTATTTCAGATATTTTGTCTTTTGCATGGGATGTTGACAGAGATCCTACTAATGTTGGACGTAAAATAAAGAAGTTGGTCGTGGAATTAGTAATAGTTCAAGCAACCTATGATGAGTTTGATCTGGTGATTGATGAGTTATTGACTACATTGAATTTCAAGCCTGCTAGTAAGTTTTCTATCCAAGATTTGAAAAGGATAAATCTATTCAAGCTTTGAAAAGGATGAAATTTGGTGATGATGAAGATCGTCTTTTACCCTTGAGGAGAAGACTCAAGGATTTGAGTTCCAAGAGACAATGTACTATCCGTTTGGAGACGAAGTTGTCTCGACGCTGGACTTGTTTTTCATGATGATTGCATTGTTAGGTGGTTGGAGACGAGTTACTTGTGCCCATTATGTTGATACCAAATGCCAAACTGATACGACATTGATCTATTCCAAGCGGTAGAAATAACTTCTTTTATTATTATGTTGTTGAATGTTCATGAGAGAAAAGGTAAATTCTGGAAGAGCTTTGGGAAAAAGCTAAGATTGAACTCTGGTAATTTGCTAACATAGTGGATATTATTCGAATTGTATCCTATGATTTTTTTTTTTATATTGAAGGATTTTTAATGTAAATTTGATATTTTTTATTTTCATATTGACACGTGCAATATCTGTTGATTTATATATATTTTTGGTTTAATTGACTGATTTCAATAAATTTTATTATGATTATTCGTGGTTTGCATCGTAGTATCTATAATTCCCAAGAGTGTTAATGTGATTTAGTTTCGTGTAGATTTAATATCCGAGGTCCAACAATTTTTGCTCATTAGGAGATATTAAATCTTAATTTCATACATGATGATCAAATCAAAGAGAATCAGAAAACTTTGTTAGCTCCATTAAACAAAGGAAGGACAAATTGGGAAAATTTTAACTTTTTTTAATGCTATTTTAAAGATTAATATTAAAGTGACCTTATTTTATATGTCATGATGTGCAACACAAAGTCTAAACCAGATCAAACTTATTTTTATATAAGAATTTATGTTACATATAATTTCAATAAAACCACCCCTTGATTTTTTTGAGTGAAACATTAATTTTAACAACTATAATTATCCTTCTATTGCTTCTATGATTTCTCAAAATTTTCCCTATTTTATTATAATTTTTATCACAGTTAATTACTTTATTAATTAAATAGTTTAATTATTTTTTTATTAATCCCTATAAAGACATTACATGGCACTTATAAAATCATTTCAATAGAATATATGTTTTACAAACTTCACCAATGAATCAAAATTTATCACGTTCTTTACAATGATTTAAAAAAAATGTGATGTTAAGTCATGATTATTGAATTATACATTATTAGTGTATTAAATATAATTTTAATACCCTATTAAAATTAATTTCAGTTTCATGGGAGATTAATTTCAGTAAATCAAAAAAATTAAATCAACCATAATAATTTCAGTAAGTATTGGACATTAGGCATCGATATGGGTAATCCGGAAGTTAAAATTCATTCAATTTTGACAGTAAAATATTTTGGATTCAAATTATCATGGCTTTTTTTTTTTTTTTGCATTGGAAATTATTAAAATTTAAATTTTAATATTTGAAATTAAAAATTTAACATTTTACAGCTTTTTATTACAATGGCTCTTTATTGATGTTAATTTTATAAGATAAAACACATCTTAATTTTAAAATGATCTGGTAAACGTGTGTCAATAGGTATCAATTAAAAATTATTTAATTATTATTTTAAGAAAATTTTTTGCTTTTAATGTAGTACTTTTACCAAATTAAAAAAAAAAATTTTAATTACAATTTTTTCTTAAATATCACATTAATCAATGTTACTATTCACTAAATACTAATTGACATTTTCCTTTTAAAAATTTAAACAAACTATTTATCATGAATTTTATATAAAAAAAGTAGATACTTGGATGTGAACAATTGGTTGGCTCGATAATAAAAATTCGTATAGTTTCAACTTTCAATAGAATAATGTTAAATTATTATTATTATTATTTTGCCAACATCATAAATTAATTGTTAAAAGCATGCAGTATGTAGCAATTTCCTATACCTGGTCAGAGATAGACTCCTAATTATATGAGTAAAATTTGCATTGTAAAATACAAGGAAAGAAGCACGACTAAAAAAATAATAATAAAAGGAACCAACTTGGGTTTTACGTTTATCAGTTTTTCATGTATGTTTGATACAAGCAAGTTGGTAATTTCTTAGTCCAAACCCTCATAAAAATAATCCAAATCTCCAATACCAACAAAATCCCGGAAAATATAATTCCCCAAATATTGCCATGTCTTGTTATTATTAGCCAGATAATCAATTAGAAGGATTATGTTCATGCATTTTATATGATATGTCATAACAATTTTTTCATGCTGCTAGATAAATTTGAAAATAAAAAGAAGTCGTCATCAATATTTTTTTCATTAGATATGATTAATTACTTATTAAAACTTACATTTTTAATAAAAATTTTAAAATTAATTAAAACTTTATCAAAAAGATAATTTTTGAATATGTGAAAACGATTTATATTTTGAAGTTAGTTACGCATAGAAAAAAACTAGTACTCCCACAGCACTCGTGTAAAATAGTAACAATTAATTATGTATTATTCTTTAATTATAATTAAAATTATTTTAATTTTGATATTTAGATTAATTTTCTTAATTTTTTTATTCTAAAAAACATATTTTTATTTTTTTTTATCTTGGTTGGAACAAAAATAAATAAAAACTTTATTTATTGAAAAAATCTCACTTTTAAAGGGACGAATTGATCTTTTCACTTGAAAATTCAAGGGAAACATTCTGTTAATCAAAATATCACTTTGGGATCGATCTTTTTTCTGTGGGGATCCATACATTCAGCTGAAATTTCAAGAAGAGTATTTCTATTAATCAAAAATCTATCCTCTAGTAAAAACAAAAAGGGATTGGGATTGATCCCTTTTTCTCATTTTTTAAAAATTTGATGTTTTTATCAAGGAAAAATGATTTATTTTTTGTAAAAATATTTTAATAAAAATTATTCATTTATGAATATGAAGTTTTGAAAAAAAAAAATAGAGTCAAACAATACTTATTAATTTTTCAAAAGTATAATTCAAAATAATTTAAGGGGAAATTACTAAATAATATAACTTGAAATTCTTTAATTTAGCTTAATATTTTGTTATACCAAATTTTGAATCAATCTAAAGCTAATAATCTCTTCCTTATTGATATGATAAAATTAAGATAAATTTACTTTGAAAAACTCCCCTAAATCATTTAAGGATTTTGAAGAAAAATTTAAAAAAGCTTCTTTTAAATCAAACATTATTTCTAAATTTAAAATTATTAGTTTTCAAGCCCATG